TCTCACTTGGCTGGGGGCCACGGGGCCGCTTAGGGCCCCCGGTGGGGGGTCCATGGGGCGAAGCACCCTGGAAGCCACAGATTTGACGAATGGCGAATTTTTATTACTTATTTGAATGATAGGCATCGAGTTACTATAATATGACTTCATGTAGGCTATGTTTTCTAATATCAGCTTCCAAAACCAAAACATTTGGAATAAAGCAAGAAACAAAGAGTATGCAATGTAACCACCTAATTTATTTTCAAATCCTCATTCTTGAAAGCGAAATTCTACATTTTGGAAATATTTGATGAATTATGGCGAATTTTTATTACTTATTTGAAAGATAGGCATCGAGTTACTATAATATGACTTCATGTAGGCTATGTTTTCTAATATCAGCTTCCAAAACCAAAACATTTGGAATAAAGCAAGAAAGAAAGAGTATGAAATGTAACCACCTAATTTATTTTCAAATCCTCATTCTTAAAAGTGAAATTCTACATTTTGGAAATTTTGCATTAAATCTGTCAACCACGTTGTCATGGTCGAGGTCGTTTCACCTATCACGATGTATACCAAGCATCATGAGGCTATCCGAACGAGCATTTGTCATAACAGAACGCAATTTATTTTTACATAGTCTCATTGAACTATTATTATAATTATTATTATAATTATTATTATTATTATTATTATTATTATTATTATTATTATTATTATTATTATTATTATTATTATTATTATTATTATTATTATTATTAACACAAATAGTTTAATAAAACAATGTGGTGGCTAAACGAACATTACATAATTAAATAGGCCTAATATTTTTTTTATTTGTTTATTCCTCGACAAAATTTACTGGTCTTCCCCGACGAAGGGTGGGGGCTATACCTGTCTCTTATACACATCTAGATGTGTATAAGAGACAGCTTCTGGCGCCACCACTGGCATAGACCTAAATGTAATATTACCAATATAATATTACCTATATAAAAAGAAAAATGTATACTCCCAGCTAGCAAAGCGACGTTGGCCCAACGTCGGTAAGCGTCGGGGTCAGATATCTGACGTTGGTGTTTGGTTACAAAATTTGGTTGTCGAAGTAACGTCAAACCAACATTGGAATTTCACGTTGGCCCAACGTATGAATATATTTGTCGATTTGCCGATGTCGTCCCAACGTTGGTAAGCCGTCGTAAATCAGTCTGACTACGGACGTTGGTATAACGTGACGATTTGTTACTGGCCCGACGTCAGCAAACAACCAAAAAGATGGTTGGGTACTACCGTTGGCCCAACGTTGGCTAGAGGTTATAAAATATTAGATGTGATTGTAGACGTTGTTGGCCCGACGTCGGTAAACGTTTGAAATGGAGGTTGGTTTAAAAAAAAAAAAAAAAATAATAATAATTGGTTCGTGTGGGAATTGAACACACAACCACCAGGTTTCCCGTAACATGATTAGTCTATATGAATTATGAATTATGATATGTCATAATGAATTTTTCAAACATTCTTGTCTATTTAAAAAAGGTGCGTAAGATATGGAGATGGTAACAATCAAAAATCAATTATAAATTTAATTCTACATTTTTAGACAAAAAAATAAACCCTCTTGGCCCACGGCCCATTGGTACTAGGTTTATTGCATTTATGGCTTAGGGGCCGCGGTTTACCTCCCTCCGTTTAGTCACCTGGATCAGGAGTAGTAAACTCGGTGATCGTGGGTTCGATCCCACACGGGCAAGTTTTTTTTAAATTTTTTTAATTTATTTAAATTTTTTAATTTTTTTTGAAGGTCGTGGGTTCGATTCCCAAACGAGCCAGATTTTTTTTAAATTTATTTTTTTAAATTTTTTTAAGGCAGTTTAGTTGATGGTGTATAATGATTAGCAAACATGGAGCCCACTGGCTCATGTTGAGCCAACTGCAGACGAAAAGGTTACAAACTTTTCAGAGATAAGCTGGAAGAAATTTTAGACAGTGCCCATCAATGGAAGGATTTTAATACTGAGTAATGGATCGGTTAGTGAAGTCCTTGGGGCTTGCTTAACCGTTTTTCTTCGATCGTCGCTTCCAACCGTCTAGGCTCATCTAGCCTAAAGAGGGCCTACATAGCAGGTCGAGATCCATGAAAAGTCGTATAAAGATGTGGGTTACCCACATCTTTATATTTGCACAAGTAATTAAAATTGTTTATTGAGCAGATTAATCGCATTGATAAACAATTGTACTACATTCGGCTGATGCATGTCTACGCCCCGGTCTACGCATGTCCGGCAGGGGATACAAACCAAGGGGTCGTTTAGAGCCGGGGAATAAAAATTCCTAGTAGGGGTAATGGGTACGTGTTTTATAGCTTAGTATGGCCAATGGCGTATCTAGTCTTGTCTGTTTAAGTCCCTCCCGGCCTGGGTCACATCTTTCGAATTTCTAGATCCGCTACTGATGAGTTATTACTTATTATAATTATTGTTAGGCCGACTAATATTATTTATGATGTTTCTATTGTAATTTTCACTTTATACCCTCAAAACAGTCTAAACGTCCAGAATGCGCTACCTCCCTGGAGTCTTCATCCCCTATACCCCACTGAGGGTCCTTGGCGTAGGAAAGGGGGACAGTCCCGCCCAACCCTCCCCCGCTGGGTACTACCTCGCAAGACGGATCCCCCTCCCTTTGGAAAATCCTTATTACGTCCCTGAACCGATTATATTATGTTCAGATGTTGTAATTGGTTTGTTAAAACAGTACTTAACCGTGATCTTTACGACGTGGGAAAATTATTGATAATTTCAATCATATTTGTTTAATATCCATTTAACAAACTTAATCGAATACGCGGGAGAGACCTAGTATGAGTTAAAATATACAAACATATAGGACTTTATTATTAACTATTAATGGATTACCAAAAATATATAACGTCATAATCATTCGCTTCTTCGTCGCTTAATAAATTCCCCGATGATTTTGCTTGAATTTTCAAATAGGCCTCTTGAAGTCTTAAGTATAGTTATCGCGGGCCGGTAATACGTTGCACGTTTTACAGTTTTTCTGGAGGAGTAAATCCTTAGATACAAATTTCTTCAATTGGCAACTACCAAAAGCAGCACATTATAAGAGCACAGTTCGAATTAGAAATGTTTAGAGATAACAAAATATATCTGCCTTTCATATATTAATATATTATTACAGTTAATAACGCCCGCTGCTCATATCGGTGCGATAGCAAGAAAAATACGGAGCATCTTAACAGATTCAATTTTAGTTGTAAATACTACTCTGAAGTGGGCCATGAATTTAACTTGGAATGTCTGCATTACTCCGTCAGTCTGTGTGCATCCTTACTCAACCTTTGAATAAATAAAAAAAAACCCAGTGGCGGATTCAGACAAAAAAGAAAAAAAAAGAAAAGAGAAACACAGTAAATTCTACCCAAATTTTGAGTCTAAAGGTGCCGCCATTTCCGGCCATTAAGCGGTGTATTTTTTTTTTTTTTTATCTCGGCCCCATGTAGATAGGCCTAGTTAGGCCCCCAATCTGTGAAGGTCCCTCTCTGGGCCCCCTCTGTTCCAAATTCCTGGATCCGCCACTGAAACCGACAAAGTAAAATGCTCTGTTTTCAACTGATTTAGGTTTAGGCCTAATTAGTAACAATAATTCCATACAATTCAGTTATTCATTCATGTTGATAGAATTAACATCAACGACACACGTAATAAGAAATGATAGTGAGCCCTCTGTAACAAAGCAAAGCAACAATCTTTTGTCTTTTTGTGGTACCAGGCCATTAAAAAAAAACCATGCATGAGTTACCTTACTGCAGCTGGAGGACCAAGGCTAATAAATAAACCAACAGAAAAGGCACGCCGGTGTGTGTGGTGTTTGGCGTCGGTTGCCGGTGGTGGTGTGGTTGGGTCGACATCGAAAGAAGATATTTTTAGACAGAAAAGTCTGGCCTAGGCGAGAGATAATTTTCTTATTAATTAGCCTAATTTATTTGGAGGGTTATTTCTACTTATCCGTCCATCATTATGGAGGCTGGTAGGTTCTTTTCATCACTCTTAATTTAAGATTTGATATTTTAATAGTGGTTAATGAATGCTGCTGCAACACAAGCCCAACATCTCGCATTCATTTGTGTGTGGACTCTGAATACAACCGAAGAAATACCATTGATTGAGTGAGTGGCCTAGCCTAGGCTACTCAACCGTACACATGTGGCCTAGGCCTAGCCTAATTTAAGTCTAGGGCTAGTATAGAGTATCCTAGCTTGATTTTGGTAAATAAAATCAGATTACTAACATTATGATTATGTGTATTTCAATACAACAACCTAAAAAATATGACAAATTCTGTACACACACGTGCAAACTTCCTTTCATTCTCATTCTTAAGTCATCTACTGTAGGTAGCTACTCGTTCAAATAAACCATACCCTGGGCTTTTGCCCGAGGAAAGGGTGGTACATAAAATTGGGCGTAAACGGGGTGGGCTTTACCTGAGGTGGGCATAAAATACCTGCTGGAACTATGATACGGTACATGTATGCCCTCCATACTTTACCTCCTAATGTACTTGCAGTGTTTCCTCATGCATAAGCCCCAGGTATGATTTAAATCATACCTTGCTCAGCGTAGTTGAGCTCAGCACTGTTGACTTATAATATTTCTTAAAACAGAACTAAGATTGGCTTTGAATTGTCCATGTTGCATTAAAAATTTTCCACAATGTAAGACAAAACATATCATATCCAGACTCTTGTGCAATATTCAAGTGTTAAGCTAAAGCTACAGTAGATAAACACTAGTTTAATTGTTTGTATCAATTTGGTGTCTGATGTGATAATAATTTTTATCAGAAAAAAAAAATAGTATTCGTACTAATAGAGCCTACTGTACTGTACAGCCACATTTTAGATATTGCATTTATTTAATTTTATTGAGAATATATTATTTTACATTTTATTTTTATTCCATAAGTAGTTATTATGTAAGATGCAGTATGAATAACATAAGCTGTTCACTGGATGCTGTGCATCATCATCAAACAGTGTTGGCCTTCACTTTGATTGCCCTTCATGTTCCTCCCAGACAAGCTCAGTCTAACATTAACTCTTATTACCTATTCCTTAAACAATGATTTGATAATTATGTAGTTGTACTGTAGTTGCTAAGACTTCCATTTTTTGTGTATTGATTTCAATTAGAAATAATCTTAAACATGAATGAATTCCAAATAATTTTATATATTTTGAGCTGCATTGAGAAGCATTGACTTTAAGTTGGTTTCTGTGATCATGGGAATTTTATGCATGAATATGTTAGGCAAGACTTCTTTTTTAATCCTTGTTTTGCGTACTTATTTTTTTAAAGAACATCGGAGGAGGGCTTAATAAAAATAAAATAAAATTTTGTTTTCTAATGTAGCAAATAGTTTTACCAAAAACATCCAGAAGGAGGAGAAAATAAAATTTTATTGGTGAATGTAAAATAGGATGATTAAATGCTTCAAATTTATATAATTAGGAAGAAATATACATATTTTATCTTTGGAGATTTCAAGGAAGCGTAGGGTGTAATAAAAATAAAGAAAAACTTTTATTTTTTTCTGAAATTTCCACTAATTGGCCAAAAATAAAATTTTATTTTTATTTGAAATCATCAATATTTGGAGTCGGCGGGTTTGCTAAACAAGGTATATAAACAAATAAGAATTAGAAATATACAGTAATATCCAAAAATACTGAAAATATTAACTGGGTATGAATTGTGTGTTTAAATTAGTGGAGTTGAATATGTACTGTAACTTGGTGGTTAAGGTGCTCACCTTTCAATCTTAGTGTCCTGGTTTCAAATCCTGTGACAGCACATGATTTTTTTCTTACAACTAACAGTAAAGCCAGGCGCTCACTTCTTCGGACAAATCCAACTCCACTCATTGTGAGCGATAGATGACGCGATGCCGTCTGCTGGTGGCAGTCTGAACGGATCGTCACTAAAACGATCCGTTGCACGCGCATCGTCACGTTGCGTTCTTTATGGAATTGTGTCAGCCGACGACTGTTGTGCGTAATAAGTGCCTGGCTTAAGCCCGTAAAACATATCTCCACTGCCTAAGGCTAATGAAACTTTGAATATTCCGTTTATTCAGCAGAGCTCCTGAATATCAGCTGACCTTCTGAGATTATCTGGAAGGGTCACCCTCTATATGGTAAATAGGGTATTCAATTTTTTTTTTTTAATACAGTACTGGTATACAGGCTGTACTGTACCTGTATATAGAGTTTTCCCTTTACGAAACAGTATCTCAAAATTCAATATGGGTAAAGTGAGGTTTAATTACAGTAGTTGCGATTTAGTGCAAGATGTGCCTAATGCATTGTAACAGTATCCCATTGCTCATCTGGATCCCAGCCATTTATTGGCAATTTCATGCAAATACGATTAATTCTGATCCATGTGAAAATTGCAATAGAATATCCTCGACTGTTAAAACCATTTCACGATCTTCATTAGGTTGAAAATCAAGTCTCTTGTTTGTTGCTGATTTAAAGAGTAGTGTATGTTTAAAAGATGTACAATATTGTCCCCTGCAATTTGACAAAGAAATGATAAATTTCATAACATGATTAAATAAATATGTCTCCCTTAATAAATACAGACCCCTCTAATTAAAGACCACCTCCAATTAAAACCACTTTGTGGTCCCAATAGTTATTTTTAATTTAGAGACCAAAGCTGCTAAAGTATTTCTAATTTAGAGACCAAAGTTGCTGAAGACAATGGAAACCCTGACCAAAAGTGGTCGTAGAGTAGGACCTGTTATAATTTTGAGAATGATAAAAACACTTATCTCAATTATGTTTGTGTATTTTATAATTTGGGGCTTGTTTAGAACTGTATAATGCCAATAATTTAAATGGGTGGTATTCGTATTTTCCTGTCATATCCACTACTGTCAGTGGCATGTTTACTGTAGGAGAAGGAACGTGGGACACACACTTACAGAACGTCTGTGCTGCCACTGGAAAGTTGCTAAGCAAAAAACTCCATTAGTTAGAAATCAATCTCATACAGTATAATATCACCCTTTTTTAGCCAGATACTGTAGCTTCTGTTATCCCAAAAACCCCACTTACCTTCTCTCGATCAGGTCCCTACTGTATAGTATCTCTATACTACTTGTAAGTACACCACTGCTTTCTGTATCCTGGCAAGTTGTCAAACCAATTTTGTGGAATTTCCCCAGTAATGAATGTCATTTTAACCCAGACTGATGTTCTGACCAAAACAATCCATGTACTGTACTACATTTCCAACCTGGAATTTCCAAGCATTACTCATTTGCTTTTCACTGGAGTGTACGAGTCTGTCGTTTCCTCCAGTCAGCAAGAAATTTGAAAGTAAAGTCCCTGAAATAGAAGAAAAATGGATAGAAATAGAAAAATTGTCAGTTCAGTTTCCAATATTAAATGAAAGATATTGTCTCTTTCCTAATAACAAAATGGAAATGGATGTTGAGACAAACGGAATGGAACATTTGGTCCTTGAGAACGCCAAAAGCGCACAAAGAGTACCTGGTCTGTTTATCATTGAGGAATTACCTTCTCTTGATGTTGACATGGAATGTGAAATAAAAGGTGCGAAAACAAAGAAAAACAGAAGACGACGACAAAGACGAAGAAAGAAAAAGAGAGCAGTCTACAGTAGTGGTCAGCAGTACATCAATGGTAATTTGTACACCAAAAACAATTGATCCTTTTTACCAATTTTTTATTGACACGAAGGATGCATAATTACTGTACTGTATTTTGATATAGTGTGGTTTTAGAGAATTTGTTAATTTTGTTATTTTTTATTTTCTATTTCTCGATGTACAGTAATAACATAATATTATATTACAGTAGGGCCTACTGTACACTATGCATAGTAATATTCTATTTTGTATTAGTTATATAAATTAATATTACACACCTTGTTTAAAATTATTAATTTTCTTGATTATTCTTTTATTTAAAAATTTCCCCCTGCCCCCTGCTGGCACCACTACTACTGTATATCACTGATTTTATTTTTGCTGCCTCTGTACTAAATTTTTTGTCATTTGATATATTTCAACTTTTTATTTGAAAATATTCTTGCTAAAAATCACCTTCAATTTTCAAATTTATGGGCCATTTTACTACTAGCTTGGGATGCACAAACTTTTTTTGCCTTTTTTAATATCCTTTTCTTGTAATATAATTCTGGAGCTTTATCATGAATCAGAATATTTGCTCACAACATCCGAACAATTATTAAAATGATATATCAAATTATACTGTAATTTACTTTTTCTTAAAGTAAGGATTGTTGGAGCCTATCTAATATTGATTGTATATGAAATAAGTATACATATATAGGCAAATAGAGAAAAAAATTATCTTTAAAATGACATTTTTCACAAATAAATTTGTAAGTAATATTTGATCAATTTTAAATTAACAAGTATGTTAGATTGACCCATGGTAATTCGAACATACATTTTCTAACATGTCTGCCCGTAACAATAAAATCTATCCTTTAATAATTAAAATTTTAATTAGTCTGTAATTAAAATGTTACGTCAACAACAATTCTACTATTTAAAAAAAAAATGCTCAAGGAGTTTAATATGAATTAGTGTTCTCCCGAAGCTGTACCTAAATGGATAGCCTACAGTAGATTTTTACAGTACTCTATTGTCAGGGGACAATACATCTTTTGTATGTGTTATGTGGGTGTATCTGTACCCCACTTGAAAGTTGTCGGGCAAAACAAAAATACTAATGGTACAGTTATCCTCAGTACACACACTTACCGACACAGCTCCCCCATCTCAATACATTATACCACTGCCTGCAGAACTATACGATATCCCCCTTTGTTGAATGTCACAATGACAATCCAGATTGAAATTATTTCCAGTGGAATTCCCAGCATTACTCATTTCTTTATGATCACGACGACAAAACTCACAAATAAAAAAATTTTACTTCCATTAGTGTAGTCCAACATAGGCCT